AGAGAGAGAGAGAGAGAGAGAGAGAGAGAGAGAGAGAGAGAGAGAGAGAGAGAGAGAGATGTAGCAGGGGGGACTGGGGGAAAGGTCGGGCAAGGCAATAACTAGGTGCAACCGTCCAGTTGTGTAATATCCAAAAGATACTTGTGTTCGCAGTGGTTGACATAGTTTGAGTTGGTTTTTTGCAGAAGCTGGAGTGGGAATCCTTGTCAATTGATTTGCTGCCGCATCCGAAAATGTTCTCAGATGAGCGCGTGAGCTCATCAGCAAGAGGCGGTTCATCATCGACAGATCCTGAAGATGCCCGTCGTTGGTTTTTCGGCGGAGAGCGTCTTGTGGATAACATCTATGGAACAGCAAATGTGAGTACCAAGCAAACTGCCACCTACAGATGTGTTTTCATCCCCTTTTCGTTTCTTTTGTTGTTTTGTCATATGTTTGGTGACTTCCTGATCTCTACGGATTGTCTAAGATTCTCTCACATTCTTCATGATATAGCAGAGGGCCGTAAACTGAAGTGAAATGAAGTGAAGAGGGCAATAAGCATTTGTTGAGATTAGGAACTCTGTTGTTGCCTGAGCAGTTGTCGGTTCCGTCAGGGCTTGAACTCGTGGTCTATTCATGGACAGTTATGTGTGTGGACCATTCAACAGCGTGAAGTGGATAGGATGTGGGGTCCATTAGCTGCAACATATGATGGTTTATGTTGGGCGCAGTCTTGCACTATCATGTGGAGGTCCCATGTGCTGCAGCCAGTCGGTTTGATCAAGTTCCACTGCAGTGTGGGCCCCAGCCACGTTGGCCGAGTGGGCTTCTGTAAGTTGGCCCAGTGGGCTCCAGTCAATGTTGCTGGTGGGTTGCGGCCACGTGGCCTGGTGGGCTCCAGCGTGTGGGCCCAGCTTCGTGCCGCCGTGAGCTCCAGCCACGTGCGCCCAGTGGTCTCCGGCTATTTCTACCCAGTGGGCTCCAACCGGTCGATCCCGTGAGCCCAGTGGGCTCGAAGCATTTTGGCCTAGTGGACCCGAAGCAGTTTGGCCTAGTGGACTCCAGTTAGTTGATCCAGTCTGGTGGATTCCAGTGCGCTCTAGTCAGTGTGCCTGGTGGGTTGTAGCCACGTGGCCTAGTGGGCTCCAGCTCGTGGGGCCCAGGGGGCTCCAGCTACATGCCGCTGTGAGCTCTAGCCACGTGCCCGTCCAGTGGTCTCCAGCGAGTTTTACCCAGTGGGCTCCAAACGGTCGACCCTGTGAGCCCAGTGGGTTCCAGCCAGTGGGCCCAGTGGGCTCGAAGCATTTTCGCCCAGTGGGATCTAGTTATTTGACCCAGTCTGGTGGGTTCCAACCTTTGGGCCCAGTGGGATTCTATCATTTTGGGCCCAGTGGGATTCTATTATTTTGGGCCCAATGGGCTCCAGCTGGCTGACTCAATGAACACAGTCTGGGCCCAATGGGCTCAGACAGGCTGACTCTATCATTTTGAGCCCAATGGGCCCAATGGGCTCCAGCTGGCTGACTCAATGAACACAGTCTGGGCCCAATGGGCTCAGACTGGCTGACTCTATCATTTTGAGCCCAATGGGCCCAACGGGCCCAATGGGCCCAGTGAGCTCAGAATGGCTCTATCATTTTGAGCCCAATGGGCCCAATGGGCCCAAAGAGATTTGGTATGTGGTTGGGACACGTTCCATTCCTTTTCTCTTTGGTTTCATCAGTCCGCTATGGAACAAGTCATTGAGTAACATCTAGCTCATGGCAGCCACTATTTTGTGTGGTGAGCGCACTGTGCATCATTGCTGCTTGGACAGAAGTCACAGAACCAGTAAAATGCATTGTGTGCCTTGAAGTTTGAATTGCTTTCCTTCACATCTGAGTAGCTGAACTGTAGCAGCAGTTTCATTCGTTCTTGTTCGTTAAACCTGTTTCAGCGTGTTTCTGTTTTATGACAGCCCCTGGCAAATACAATATGGAAAACTTGTTAGCAAGGTGGTTGCCTTCGCTAGCATTCGCATAATGCTTGTTTGGAGCAGCTGTGACTTCGTCCGTGGCCCACGCAGTCGATCTCAGGATAGCATCATGTTCCCATGTTCGTGGTATGGTTTGAGTTTTGCACTTTGTGCTGTTGCTTCACGGGCGAGTTACCCTTTAGAAAATTGTGAAGCGTGTTTTGTATTGTCCAGCCGTCGAGCGAGTTAAAATCTGCTGTTATCTTTTAGGTGTATAGTACTGTATACGCCTTGGCTTCCTTTTTTTTTGTGTGTGTGTGGTTTGGACTTTTGAGAGCGGAGTTTCTGAAGGGCAAATGATTGAATATGCCTCGTCGGGTTGGTGTGATTGGCAGATTACACAACTGCGGTCTCTACACAACGAGCCCATTGGATTGGAAGTGGAGCTTAATGTATCTGAAGTGCTATGCCCTGCGTTAAGCGAGCCAGGTTGGTTGCTGACTTGCGTATTCAATTTCCTTCACAGCTAAAGACTTGCTGTTTGTACAATCATTTTGTTGTGCACAATTGTGGTAGGTTCTTCCTGTGGGATCGCCACACACACACACACGAGAAAAAAAAAAAAAAAAAAAAAAACTCCCCCCCTTTTTTTTCAGAGGCACCACGCGGCCTCAAATTTTTGTTTTCATTTTTTTGTGGTTCTTGACACGACATCCCACTCGGGCCTATAACACCCCTCCCCCCTTGTTTATTATCTGTTTATTAAGAGTTACTTGTGTGAACCATTTAGTCACATGGGCCGGGCGAGTGCGGACCCCATATCCCGTTTGATGTGGTAGAGCTGCTGTTTCCTACCCAGCCCATGTGGCTGAACAATACACATGTCCCATGAGCTCGAGTCCTGCCAAACATTTCATGTGCTCGAGTCCTGCCAAACATTTCACGAGCTCGAGTCCTGCTAACATCAGATGGACACACGTGCAAAGTTGCAAACTGTTAAATAAACAGGTCACGAGCTCGAGTTCTGCTAACATCATATGTATGCAATAGGATTAGGGGCAACGCCCTTTCAGAAAAGATTGGGAGGTTCACCTACTTGAAAAAGCAGGAGGAAGAAAAGGAGAAAACAAACGGAGCGTAGCATAGGGAAATAATTTAAATAAAAGAAATAAACTAAAATGGGAAATAAGTTTAATAAAAAATGACCTCGCGAGCAGTACTATGTTAAAAAAAAAAAAAAAATCTCAGAAAATGACTTGGGAGTCGGGACCATAGTTTTGGCGCACCAGTGCGCAGTGCAGTGCGGGGCGGTGCGCACTGGAATGACAGGGCGCGCACTGTGCGCCGTGCGCTGTGCACGGTGCGCATGCTAAGAGAGTTGCGCCCTGTGCACGAAAAAAAAAAAAAAGGCCTAGAGAGAGAGAGAGAGAGAGAGAGAGAGAGACAAAAGGGTCCCCTTCATGTCAATTCGAGGGCCCCGGCAGGTACCTCGAATGGCTCCTATAATACATGTGGAGCCATTGAGGGCCACTGCTTCAATGAGAAGGATGGCCTCGTCATGTGTGGGAGAGATGGGGGCAGACCACCAATATATGTGCTGTGGATTCGAGTTCAGGGCTGTAGCTCGGCAGTTATGGGTCACCAATTCAGCTGGACCTTGTTCGTGTCTCCAGGTGGTTCTCAGGGCCTCCCTCCACCACTCACCAACTGTATATAATATTAGTAGAATGAATCTTCTGCTAAAACATTAAACCATACACCGCCATATGCTATGTCTTTTGTGCATCCCCACTGGACGTATTCGTAAGAAAACAAAAACAAAAAAACGAGAGAGCCACAGGCATCTTCATCCTAACCCATAACTGCCGACATACAGACCTGAACGCCAATCTTCAGCATCTATTGGTGGTCGGCTGGCCATGGAACACGCAATTTGAGACTTCTGCGAAGTTTTGCGGGGCAGGTCGTTATTACGTGACTACCCCTTTTCGAACTTACGCCACTACTGTGTGGGATTTGCAGAAGGGAGCGGGAAGGACAGCTTTCGTACCCCGCCTAAAAAAGAAGTTGGAATGAGCCCTATTTTGTGCTTCACCATTCTGCAACTTTTGGGGGAAGGGCCTGCGGAAATCGAAATTTCGGCAGCCCTTACCCAAAAGAAAAGTTTGGGCCGTGGGCGCGGCTGGTTTGCAAGCTTGCGCTTTGAGTTTAACATTTTTGCCGAGTTGGGGGCCCTAAGAAATTACGAAACCCCTACTTTTTTTTTTTTTTTTGGACCTAATTTTTCAAGTGCGCTGTGCTTCGGTGCGCTGTGCGGTGCGCTGCGCGCGGTGTGCAATCCGTGTGCAAATCCGCGCACCGAGGTGCGCCGCAACTATGCTTGGGATGAGTAAAACTTGGGATGTCAAGAATTCAAAACAATCGAAGGCATCTCAAAAAATCACTTGGGGCGACTAAATGGGTGAAATCACTGTCATGTTGTAAAACTTGCGAGCACGCCACATGGGTTATAGTCAAAATACGAAATTGTTATTTCAAAGTCAAAATACAAAATTGTTATTTCAAAGTCAAAATACGAAGTTGTTATTTCAAAGTCGTACACGGCACCTCGCTTGAAAAGCTTTTGAAGGTTGGAGACGCAATAGGCAAATGAGAATTTGAATGGGGAGCAACTCGTATTCCGCCGAAACCGTGCCCCCCGTGATCACCAAATGAAATGAAATAGGCCGCCGCTTCACGGCGGTAACAGTCAACGCCTGTCTCTTATACACATCTAGATGTTGTGTGTGTGTGTGTGTGTGTGTGTGTGAGAGAGAGAGAGAGAGAGGTAGCGGGGGTCGGTTGGGGGGTTAGGCTTGGAAATAATTAGATGCACACACACACACACACACACACACACAGAGAGAGAGAGAGAGAGAGAGAGAGAGAGAGAGAGAGAGAGAGAGAGAGAGAGAGAGAGAGAGA